TATATGATTAATTTATTTGAATTTTTAAAAATAAACATAAAAATTAGGATTTTTTAAATTAACAAAATATTTTATTAAATTTTATAGTGAGAGAAAGAGATGATTTCTTCTTATGGTTGAGAGAGAAAGATGTGGACCGCATGCCATTTCGTTCTTTTCCATTTTTGTTTTTTTGGTGCCTGATCGCATTTGAGCCGGGTGCTGCCAACGTGGTGGGTCCACTAGCCCCTCTGTCAGTAATAGACGTCCCCGGTTCGAGCCGGAAAACGCTTGTGGGCCAGAGGCGCTTTGACTACCCTTTACTACATACCACTCAATTTTTTGCAGTTACATTTTCTAATATCTAAATTTTAATTTTTACATTTATACCACTAAAATGTTTTTTTTTTACATTAAAAATACCATCATTTTTAACTTTTAAAAAGAGAAATGCATATTTTCACGCATTGATAAAATAATTTTTTTATGCAAAAATTAAATTTTAGGTTTTAGATATCTAAATACAAAGAAATTTAGTGGCATGTATGTAAATCTTTCCACCTTCAGCCAACTCCGGACGCCACCGCAGGCTTCAATCGACCAGCATCAGCCACCGCTCACTCTCTACCACAGGGCAACAACTGCTTCTGTTGTAATCAGAAAAACTGTACAAGTCTTTACTGTATGTGAGGCAAAGGGGTGTACATGTTATTACCAAATATAGTTAAATATTTCAATCAGGTCAACCCCATAGTTTTTTCACTTTCCGGGTTTTTCACATAAAAACTTATGTTGTTCCCGCTTGTTATCTTTTTTTCATATGAGTGTGTGTTAGACTATCGTACAATGCTAAGATGATTATTCGTTACTCTATGGCCGTGAAATTCCTACCAGTCATCAAAATTATAAACATAAATATTACACTTCAGATGTTATATATATGTAAATACATAAGTGTGTGGTATGCACGTAAGATTTCCTTCCCCACATTTATATTAATCTATTTAAATGAACAAAAAAATTGAACATAATTTATAAAGTTTAATGTTATAGAATGAACCATATCGAAGTATTCTATATTTGTTTTTATTTAATGTTTTTGCTCACCTGATCATGACCGTTGTTGTGGAAATCGAACGGCTGAAATCATCTAGATCGAGAGAATATTTAGGATTTTAATAATAGTAAGTGCAAGATTCAGAAATCAAGGTTGGATATATGAAGACTTTTATTTAGGGTTTATTTACATAAATACCGCACGATTCTTGTGTTTTGATATGCCAACCACATAAACTTCAATTTTTACATACAAACCACCCGATTCCGATATTTCCAGCAGAACATTGGGGGTATAGAGGTAAGAATTAAAGTTTAAGGGTTTGATATGTTAATACGTAGGAATTCGGTGGCAGTTATGCAAACATCCCTTTTATCTTAAGTTGGGCCTTGGATAGGGCCCACAGTAGAAAGATTTGGATATCATGATTTTTATCATGATATACAACGCCTTCAAATCGGAAAAATTATTACGTATGGCTCCTGGACTTTGAAATAATGAATCAACTCGACGTGATCTGACATAAGAAAAAATAACTCATTTTCTTGAGATCCATCCTGGTAATATAAGAGAATATTCCTCCTGTGTTATTTTGCGTTATTCGGGTGTTATTGTGGTGGTGTTGATGTGTTATTGTGTTATTATAATACTGAGAATATTCCCAGAACACAATAGTACATGAATACCACCACAATAACAAATGAATAACGTGTAATAACACGAGAGGAATATTCCTTGTGCTAAAATAGTTTTTTTTTAATTTTTTTATCACCGCCACGTGACTTGATTTCATTGAACTTCATACATATCTCTACATCTAGAGTCTGGACGTAATACTTGTCCAATTGTCAGTAAGTCATTATAATTTTTGGCAACCCTAAATTTGAGCCTTGCATGGTCCCTAAAGAAAAAGTCTATTTCACTTTCTAGAAGTTAAAATGGGGATATATTTGATGTGATATAAAAGAGTGAGGGGGTATAAATGTAAGAAATTAAATTTTAGGTTTTAGATATATAAATACATGGAAATTATGAATTTAAACTCTGGTCAAAGTCAACACATTTTTCTATTACAAATATTCATGCTTAGTGTAGAGTTTTATTTTCATTTTTATTATTATTTCTTTAAAATATGCTAATTGTCTAATCTATGGGTTGCTTGAGACTTGGTGTGGGGCACCATGAACTCTGATTATTTACAAGTCATATGAGAAATATGGCTATAAGGTTTGTTTGGTCAATAGCAATATTAGGATTTTATATTTTATTTTGCATTTTTTATTTTTATTTTTTTGCATATTTTTAAAACTAAAAAAAATACAAAAATAAAATTTAAGGAATTTGAAATATCATAAAAGTTTTATTTTCTTTCAACTAAAAATTGCATGAATGCGACACAATTCTTATATATTTGCATATCTAACACCTAAAGTTTGATATTTACATTTATAGCATCTTGGTGTCATAATTCTATGTATGAAAAGATGTATTTCACTTTTAAGAAAAGATAGTAGTAGCGGTCCTTTTCATGTGACGTTAAACATTTGAGTGGCATGCAAGTAAATATGAATGTTTAGGCGTTAAATACGTAAATACGTAAGAATTTTGTGGAAGGTATGTAAATGCATCTAAATTTTTTGACATATTGGATGGGGAAGCTTGGAACTATGCCATCATCTTATTCTTAAAAATGAGATGCATTGTCAAAGCCATTGACATTGCATAAATTAAAGGGAGCTCTATGGATATTTTCCCCAAGTCCATGTGGAAATCTTAGAAGCTCCTTGGACATGTTGATCACATCAATTTGTTTAAAGGCCATATTGAATTTTGGTTGGTACAATTCCGCCTTCGTAGCAAGCATTGTTGAAGAGTCTTTCGTCTCCTGTCATTTTTCATAAAATAGTCTATAATATTTCTTTTTTAATTCTCAGAATACAGAGGAATTATTTTATTGAAATGAAAAGGAGTATAAATACCCTTACACGATTTCTAGAATAGAAAAGACAAGAAAAATAAAATAACATTAAATGAATGATATAACACATATATATTCAATTAATCAATTCATAATAATTATTCCGAGATTTAAAAAAAAAACATAAATTAGGAAAGGAAATAAATCCAATCCAAAGAAATAAATATAATACTCACGACTTCTAACAGAAATAAATCATTTTATAATATAACTTTTTCCCCTCAAGTTGAACATAGTTGGCAATCATGTTTGACTTGGATTTCAAAATGTCAAACCATGGGCAAGAAAATTTTTTTGTGAGGTAGAACTTGAGGTCTTCATCTGATACTTAGTAATTAACTTACTAAGTAATTAACTCTGAGAGCATTTAAGGATATTTTTAGTTGATTGTGGTTGTTTTTTACTGCAGTTTTTGCAATGTCTGTAATTAGGCGGATGACTCCTACAAGTAATATTACTGCGAAGTTTGCAGAAAAGTAGACAACCCACATGAAAAGCTACAGGGAATGGTCTGCAAGGAAAAACGTTTCGGAGGAGAGTCTGATGCAGAAAAAAACTCCAGAGGAGAGCTTGTTGCAGGGAAAAACTCTGGAGGAAAGGTCTGTTGCAGGAAAAAGTTCTGGAGGCAAGCCTGAAGCAGAAAAAAATTCTCCGGAGGAAAGACCTGTTGCGGAAAAAAGCTCCGGCGGAGGGACTGTTGCAGGGAAAAACTTCAGAGGAGTGTCGGCTGCAGCGAAAAGCTCTAGATACTGGCCCTGCTGTGGGGAAAAACATCGGAGGTGGGTTTGCTATAATGAAAAAGCTTCGGAGGTAAGGCCGTGGCCGGAAAAGGTTTCGGAGAAGAGCTTGTTGCATGAAAAAGCTGTGTAGGAGGGCTCCAAAGGGCTGATTTGCAGCGTTGGAAGAACTATAGCCAAGATTTTTGGAGGGCAAAGCTGAGGTGGAAGAGGGTTATAGGAGTGTTTAGCTAGGTTGGCTGTAATCAAAGTCAATACTATTAAGGGAACAAGCTCAACGTGAAAAGCAACAAATGAGGTTCCGCTATGGCATGATTGGGGAGCCAGCAGTATACATAACTGCCTTCATGGAGATGACATAAGTCCTTGATTACCAGCAGAGCAAAGCATTCTTCATACAGTAATGACCAAAAAGAACCAAGATATATTCAGCCATGCAGGCACCAGCCAACTTTCCCATCCTGTAAACTTAGGATAATCCCAATCATCCAACTAAAACTGCGGGGTTTTTGTAAGCGAGCAAAGACAGCTCATCGCACATCATCATTTTCTCCCAAGGTGAGGTGGAGGAAGAAGAGTTTACAGGAGGGATTAGTCATGGAAAGTCGGTGGATTCTATAAAAAAGGTCAATGCTACAAAAGAAGGAAACGCATTACTCAGCTGCACCACTACAATGGTGACATGATCTTAGAGGAAAAGATCCTTCATGAAGGTAACAAGAATAGCTAGAAATGGGGCTCCAGTATGGCACAGCTGGAGAATCGCCACTACAAATAGCCAGCTCGATGTCCATGATGATAATCCCCTCATCTACAAGCCTAGCCAAGCTAATTGGCTCAATGGTTGCGATCTTGAGCAGATCATCCAGATCTAGTGTATACTCTGCCGTAAACAAAACAGATAGCCTCCTCTTCAAGCCCCTTGAAACCCCTATCTGTCCTTATCGGACAACGCTTCCTTTGGCATACGGAAGCCAGGTAAGGACGAGAGGTAAAGACTCGGAGTCACTGCTACCTTAGATGGTGCGGGGTCACGGGGAAGAATAGACTAAGGCACGGCATTAGGATCAAAGATCAAATGAGAAACTCAAGATTTGGATAACTGAGCAGCAAGGTTGACCAGGTAGCCATGAAGAATAATCATCAGTGATGGATCATGAAGAGGGCGCTAGGGCTCGCATCTTTCACCGCCACAAAAGAAAGAACCAAAACACCATAGGCATAAGTCGATAGATTTGAGAGTAACAGAGCAACATGCTACTACATGAGGGGAATTGAGGAGTTACAGACAGTGAATGTCGGGCTTGTCACCGACGGCAAGCCAAATATCCCAATCTTGCACGCGTATCACCGCTCTTATCATCGGGCACAGCCTTCTACAGTTACAAATAACTCCATTGGGATGGCCTGGTTGGCTGCAGGAGGAATTTCAGCGACCAGAAAGCTGCGGGAGGAAATTCCAATGGCGGGAAAGGTTGCAGAAGGAAAATGTGGCGGCCGGCTCTGCAGGGAGAGGAAGTTTCCTGTGGAAAAAATTGAAAAATGAGGCAAATGAAGGGTCTGCAGCACGACAAAGAACGCCAACTGCAGATAATAGGAAGTTTCAGGTGGCAGAAAACTCTAGGATTTCTTTCAAAGCTCTGATACCATGTTAATTTTCAGAATTCAGCGAAATTATTTTAATGATATGAAAATAAGATATAAATATCTTTACTCGAATCCTAGAATAGAAAAGACAAGAAAAGTAAATAACATGAAAGGAAATATATAACACCTTTATCTCGAATAAATCAATTCATAATAATTGTTTGGAGATAAAGGGAACGCTGTAAAATAGGAAAGGAAATAAATCCAATCAAAAGAAATAAATCTAATCCAAATAAATAAATCTAATTCTCATAACGTCTAACATGAATAAATTATTTCCTAATATAATTTTAAATATTTTTCACATAAAATTAGTGTGCAATGCAATTTGCTTTTCAATTTATAAGATATGGAGTTTTATGACCCTAAGACAACAAAAGAAAGGAATCAATGAAATAAAGCACATTTATGATTCATCATATGGAAACAACAAGCTAAGATTTATAAAACAACTCAAAATTTTATCAAATATGAAGGCCAATAAAAGAGTTTGATCTTTTACCTCAAACTTCAGCAAGTGATTCTCAGCCAAATCTCGAGGACAATAACAGCAGGAAAACCATTTCGAGCAAAATGGATGATGAAATTGTTACAAGGCTTTTAGAAACCATTTGGAGTTTTCAAACCTACGACAAAGAGGTTATTTCATTGTCATGGAACTTCATGAAATAAATACGAAGAATATTGCCATCAAGTAAAAATTAGCCAATTATTCGATAAAAACAGACATCCATGAAATAAAATGGGAGCCTATTTTTCTCAAATCTAATCAATACTTTATCAGTCAAACTTGGAAACTATTGGTTTAATTGAACAATGAAACTATGAAAATGGAGAACATATTGTCATTACGATCAAAATAATCATCCAAAATGCTTCAAAATGGAAGGAAAAGTTCAAAAAGCACAATAGCTATTTTCTTTCAGTTCAAATCCTTAACGCTGATGATTAAAAAAGCTCAAATTTAGCGTCAAAGCTGCCTAAATCAGCATGTTTTTACCCATACAACCTGTTTCTGACATCTTCAAAAACTCATAATTAAATAATTCAAAAGAAGATTTGGTTATGAAGTCAGAGACAAAATGCAACGGTTGAAGGTAGACCTTGAGGCTTTTTCTCTTGGGGGCATTTACATAACATTCCATTCATATCCTATGTATTTACATATTTAAGATCTAAACTTTACATTTTGCATTTATACCACCCAAATATTTCTTATCACCAAAAAATACCACTATTTTAAATTTTAAAAGGTGAAATATATCTTCTCATGCATAGGTAAGGTGGCATATATATATAAACTAAAGTTCATATGTTACATGTGTAAACGCATCAGAATTAAGTGCCATGTATGTAAATCTTCTTTTCCTTAATCAAGTAAAATCTTTTTTTCATTTTGCACAACCAAATTAAGTGTTCATTTTAGACATACGTACCTCCGCTTTCTCATTAGAAGATGAAGATTTTTATAAGCCTCAAGCAAACCTACACCAAATGGTGCTAAATGCGCATGCTTCAATCTGCTAAAAAGCACAAGTACTTGAAGGTCAGCTTGCAACAAATGACAGCCATGAATATGCAGCTTCACAAAATTTATTTTAGCATCCACAAATGACTAGCTAAATGATAAAAAAATAATGGCAAAAAAATTTAGTAATGAGAACTATTGACAAATTTCCAGAGCTGAAATATAATTAACACTCCAGAGATAATCTCAAAACCATTAAATATTTTTTAACGTCTATAAATTGAGAAATGGTAGTGGGAAGGAAGTTCTGACTCTGTAGACAGGAGGGATTCTTGCGTGCAGACGGCGAATGCATCTCGCGTGCGCCGTCTAATGAAATTTTTTTAAAAAAAATCGTAAATTTAAAAATGGGCCAACTGACATACACTTTTTTGGTAAAGGAAGAGTTTTTATTGGCCCACCGCACGCATCTCTACGTGCGGTGGGCGGGCGCAAAAAATTTACAGTGAGGAAATTTTTGGAATATACGGGATTTGGCCCGAATTTGATCTTGGATTGCCAGAATGTGTACCACAACTATAAATTATTTGTAGATGAAGAAATCTGAATAAACTATTCCTAGATCTCTTGAGATTTTTGGAAAGTTTTACTTAGATCCATTATTTTAAAAAGGTTTAGATTTGAACATCATCAGATATATACCCAGTTGGTTATTAACAACTAGCTGGAAGAACTTGAATGAGTTGCACAACAATTACCATGATTTGCAATAACAAATAACATATCAAGTTCACTCAATAACAGCAATTCAAAATGATGCATATACAAGCCTTTTTTGCCACCTCAATAAAACTTTACATATTTTGCAGATAAATACTTGAATAATAGGCTCTTTGCAGTTGGTCATTTGAATTCCAAAGTCTATAAAAGTATCAATTTAGTCCCCACTCTTTTAATATGGGTTGAAATAATCCCCATGAAGGCCATGGAAGACTGTTTCAATCCCAATTTAAAGAGTTTGTGGACTATTTTAACACTTCTATAAACTCTATGACTAAACTTGCCCCATCTAAACAGTCGAATGACTAATTTAGCAGTTCTCTCTTAAATAATATGACTGCAAAATGGTACAAGCACGTGAGCATTCAGTGAAATCTAAACTTCCGAGGAGAACCTATCAACTTATAAAATTTGCATCAATACCCCTTGAGCCTATGGCAATGGGAATATGCATATCATTTGTTACTAAACTCCATAAATATTGCTTGTGAGCATAGGGGGCCCAAAGTATTATGAATTTCAAGTTGAGAAACCAGTACTTCATTGTTTTCAATTCCTTGAATAAACAAAACACTATCAAACAAGTAAGCTAGATTTTTAAGAAAATATAGAAACTACACAAGCATGCAAAATTTGTTTTTCTAATTGCAGTGACTTGACAGGCATGGAACTATAAATAATTTTATCCGTGCTTATAGATGTTAGACAGTAACTTGAAGGCAGCCCAGGGCACCAGGGCATCAATAATGTGTAGCTAATAACAATAAGAGAAATTTACATATCTACCACACAATTCTTACTTATTTACATATCTAACAGCCAACGTTTGATATTTATGTTTATCACACCTGGGTGGCATAAACCAATGAAAATGTGCAATTCACTTTTAAAAAGATAGTGATGGCGGTATTTTTAACGGGATGTTAAAAATTTGAGTGGTATGCGTGTAAATATGAGATTTAGGTGTTAGATATGTAAATATATAAGAAAAAGTGGTATGTAAGTAAATTTCCCTAACAAAAATCACAAGCCTTGAAATAAAATAAAAGAAATAACTGTCATGCTTATAAACTTACTGATGGACCGTGAAGCTTTCTGTTGACAATAATGCGCTGGGAACCTAGTGCATCAAAGCGATGCAAAGCATACAATGACGAAACCAATTGACAATTCAAGAAAAATCCACTCTAAAATCACACTTTTGAGGCTTCATCTTGTAGCAAATAGGCCTTGAAACGTTCGATCAATGAATCAATGTTAATCTCATCCCTTAAATCCGCATTTTGTTCAGGGAAATGGGGAATTGACTTCAAATGTTCTTGAAAACTTTCATTCTCGTTGAGCAAAGAATTCAATAGCATAACATTGGGCTCTTCGAGTGAAAAATTCTTCTTTTCCATTCTATTAAGAAAATTAATCGCTTTCTTAATATCTCCACTCTTGAGTAAGCTCTGAACAATTGAATTGAGCAAAGCTGAATTCAGAACACAACTGGATTTCTCCATTGATTGATACAAATCCTCAAACTCATCCATTGAACCATCACTTATAAGAGAATTCATTAATATAGTATAGGTGAAGGCATCAGGCGACAACCCTTTGGCAGAAAGGCCATCAAAAAGATCCTTAACTAACTTAAATCTGCCAGCTTTGTACAACCCATCCATCATGAAGTTGAATGTCTTGACTGCAATTTCAGAATTTTGGGAGAGCATGGATTGAAAAACATCCATTGCCTCATCAAAACAATTGTTTTTACAAAGTCCCCGAATAATCGCATGATATGTGTCAATATCTGGAGAAACACCAGCAGCCATCATCTTCTGATGCGTTCTTCTGGCATCAGCTACTCGTCCTACACGATACAGTTCATTCAATATAGCGTTGCATATAGTTGCAGTCTGTTCAAATCCCCTCTCAGGCAACTCATCAAATATCCTAAGAGCTAAATCAGTTTTTTCTGCCCTCAAATATAAATTGATCAATATGCAGTAGGTAACAGCGTCTGGTTTTCTTCCTTTAGAAATCATGAGATCAAAGACCTTCAGCGCTTCGTCTGTTTTTCCTATTTTAGAGTATCCATCCATTATAGTCGTGTATGTCACTGCATCGGGCTCCACGCCATTCTCAGACATCACATCCAGAAACTTGAGGGCTTCAACAGCCAAGTCTTCTTTGCAGAGAACATGAACAATGCTGTTGAAAGTGATAACATCCGGGGGGAAACCAGCGAGCTTCATCAATTCGAAAAGCTCTGCGGTTTTTTCTGCTGCTCCCTCTCTGCAGAGCGTGTCGATGAGAGTGTTACAGATAACGATATTAGGAGCAACGCCCTTTACGCTCATTTGCTCGAACAGATTAACGGCGTTCTTCAAGGAACCACCTTTGCAATAAGCATCGATGATCGTGCTGTAAGTGAAGACATTAGGATGAACCCCCGATACCTCCATTGTTTTAAAAACCTCTGAAGCTTTTTCTAACTCACCGTCCTTGCAGAGCGCGTCAATGACAGCACTGTACGCCACCACATCAGGCTTGCAAGCGCCGCCGATCTCCGACATCCTGTGGAGCAGGTCGAGGACCATGGCAGACTTTCCGCTGCCGCTGCTTGAGATTCCCTTGATTAGGGTAGTGAAAGTGACGACGTTGGGTTGACATCCCAGAAGCGGCATTTCGTCAAACAGTGAGACAGCATCATGGATCCGGCGCTCGTGGCATAGTCCTCTTATCAACGAGGTGAAAACCACGGTGTTGGGGCAGCAGCAGCGCTTCAACATGGCGGCAAATATGCCGAACCCGAGATCCACGCTTCGCATCCGGCAGCAACAATCAACGAGAATGCCGAATGTGTGTGAATTGGGACAGATTCCGCCGGCCCGGTTCATGAGGTTGAAAAGAGAGATTGCAGCGGGGAATTGCTTCATCCGGGAGATACCGATGAGGATGGTGTTGAAGGAATAGATTGGCGGCATAGGATCTGTATCTAACAAGTTCTGGAAGAGATCGAGGGCGTAGCTAAGCTTGAGGGTCTTGGATCGACCCCATTCTTTCACGGCGTCCTTCAAACGAGCTCTGTGGCTGCCGGCGTTGCTGAGGACCGCTTTGGCTGATATAGAGGGCATCGCCGCTGCGCCGCTCATGGTTTTCGTCGTGTTGAAGGATAGATGGAAAGCTCTGCGGAGACTCGATGGAAGAAACTGCGGTGATCGTTGTCCGCCTACAGCTGCGGTGCGGGGGCGGGCCGGCCTTCCGATGCCGCCCGGCCGCATGCAATTTTTTCTGGGAAATTTACATATAGACCATCCAATTCCTTTGTATTTGCGTACCTAACAAAGTTAAATTTTTACATTTATAATACATTATTGTTATGAACCTACGCATAATAAAATATAATTCCTTTCTAAATATTTTTTGCATGATGTTAGAGTGGTATCTATGTAAATATGAATGCTTCTGCTTTTAGAGTGTAAATACATGAGAATTGTGTGGGATGTGTACAAATTCTAGTATTTGTTTGAAACATTTACACACATACCATGAATTTCATTTGTATTTAGATATCTAGTGCTTAAACTTCAATTTACATGAAATATTTTTGTGATTTTGTGTGTCTGGAGATTTACGGTTTAGATTGTGAGAAAGCCCAACACATATTTGTAATAGAAATTATAAATAGACTCACCTTGAATTTTTATGTGAAGTGCACTTATAGGCAGTTAGCTCATTCAGAATGGTCAACTATAAATTGATAAGTGCACTTATAGACATTTATCCCACAGACAGGTATGGTTTAATCAGTTTCGTGAATTACAATGTTGGCATGCAGAATGACTCGTTGCATAATGGATGGCAAGAGCTATTGCAATTGGGAGTAATTGTTGGAACTTTGGTGCGCCGTCTTTGAGATGTATCATTGCAGCCTCAACGGGATCTTTATTACTCAATGAAGCACGTCATTACACAATATGAAGCTTTTCAAGCTTTTCTGCAACAAGCAGGGAGAGCCCGATGATGGTCAGCGACGAGGCGGCAAGCTTTGGACAATAGTGGCCTGCAGCTGTGGGAGAGGGAGGTGTTCATTGGATCTTTGATCTACAATAGCTTTGTATTTAGCTCATTCTTATTCATCACATTTGGAAGGGCAAATAGAAGTCTAATTTTATGAGTTTGTAGTTGAATCGAGCATCTCAGCGAGAAGATTCCAATGAGCACAATATCGTTCAATTTCGACATCATTAAGACACTCAAATGGTTATCAAACAACATATAATTGAAGTAAGTCTTCTGAGATGTTTGATCAAAGTGATTCATATTTACGCATTAATTGCACTTATAACTCTATAAATAGAGTTTCATCTCTCACATGAGAGGGGAAGAGAGCTTGAAGCTTAAGAAAGAGCTTAGAGCTTTGAGAATTAACTGAAGTTCAACATCATTCTTGTCACCATCAACCACCGCTGATTGTCGTCGATCACCGTCGACCACCATCGACCACCTCCTGTCGATCACCGTTGATCGCTATCAGACACCTCATGCTCATTGCAACAAATTTATCTGCACGTCGACATTGTAATTCAAAAAACTTTGTAACACTTTCTTGCCTATGAGACAAGATGTTTATGTAACAATCAACTTACAGTGAGTTTTTATAATTGGGTCAGACCCTGTTGTTTTTCCCTTTATAAGTTTTTATGTAAAAACTTATGATATAAGTATTAGTTGTCTTATTTATTCCGAGTGTGTGATAAATTTTTGTATCACACTGAGACGATAATATATCACTCTACTGTCGTGAATTTTATTTGCATGCATTAATGACAATCGACGCAGAACACTATTTCAAACTATATATTGATCGAACAAAGGAGTGTCAGGTGATTAACACCCCTCAATGATCAAATCGACCCCAATTTTATTATATGCAAATAACTATAATTACCCAAAAACCACTCCTGAAAAGTTAATAGGGGTCCATCTTGTGAATAAAAAGACACTTTTTATTCGGTCTACCACTGCTCTCTCTCTCTAAACCACTCCATAATAGAAATTTCATTCCTTAGGTGTGTTTCTCGTACAAATTTGAATCCAACAATATCAAAATGACATTTCAATTGAAAAAAGAGGGGGATTTACACACATACCACTCAATGCTTTTTAATTTTCACATCTAACATCTAAAACTCTAATATTACATACATACCACCAAAATCTCTCATATTAATCACATCAATCACCTTGTAAAAATTTGTGGTCAGATGTACATGTCTCCTTCCAAAGAAAAATTATTATGTCCGGGCGGACGCTGAGCTGCGTCCGGGCAACGGGCGTAATAATCTCTCATCCAGAAGAGCGCAAAGCTGGGATCACAATTTACAAAGACCACCGTCATGCATGTAAATTGTCATATTAAAATTTTGGGGGTTGATATGGAAATTAATAAGAATTGGGTGGTATTTCTCTAAACCTCCCAAAAAGATAATAGGGGTGAATTTGATGTGATATTAAATTTGGAATGCTGTGCAGGTAAATATAAAAATATAAGTTCTATATATGTAAATAAAGTTAACATGCGAGTAAAATTGTAAATGCCTCCTTTTTTTTAATTATTTGTGCCTAAAATAAAATTTAGTTTTTCTTTAATCTCATGTTAAATCAAAAAATATGAAAAAGATTTTCAGACATTTTATTCAAAATTAAACAGATTTAACATAAATTTTATGATATTACACCTGAATACCTATCTCAATCTAAAATTTCAATGCTTGTTAAGGGTCTGTTTGGGGTAGCTGCAGCTTATTGAATAATCGGCTCATAAACGGATTAAAAATAATATGCTGATAAAGTTAGGTGCGGTAGTTATTAGAAATTTTTGTATTTTAGAAAAGTCAAACTGCTGCCAGAAGCTGCCACCGCACCTAGATAGGTGCGTTGCGAAAACACAGCTTCAGCGTTTTCAAAACACACAAGCTGTCAAAACGCAGTTTACCCAAACACTTCAGATGCGTTTTCAAAACGCCACTGCACCAAATAAGCTGCCCCTAAATCACCAAAGTGCTATCTAGCAACAGATGATATTTAAATTATTAGGATAAACAAATCCCACAAATATAGATTTACTAAAATTTGTATGTGTTAAAGCCGAGAATCTACGTGGCAATTGATTTACTAAATCATTTAAATCCGATAAAATTGTTTGGCAATTTAAACGAGAATTTAAGAAGTGGTTATAACCGTGGGCACAATCAAAAGCCTGTGAACATAAATTTCTATTCCTGCGAAGTTAAACCAGCTAATTCATAAAATTTAGAATTTATGGGATTTCGAGTGGGAATCCACAAAATTCAAATTTACAAGATCGTGAGATTTATTTTACACAGTTCTGCGTGTGTACTCTCTCGAATAACATTCCAATAACTCAATTATTAGGAGTTATTGAGAGGTTATTCGAGTATAATCTCTTAATAACCCCTAATAACCTACCAATATATTTTACCATATTTTTTATTTTTTATTTTGTTTTTGTTATTGACATAAATCAGGCATAAATCCGCCATAAATTCTATGCTTCACTCCCTAATAAATGTTCCACATTTTTGGAGGAAATTACCTCCTCACTCCATCTCACACTAAACTATACACCTCTATAGAGAATATATAGAGTACCGATTCCTCCATTTTTGTTCACAATTTCCTCGCCGGCAGCTAGTCTTCTCTCCTCGGCGAGACTGAGGGATCGGAGGGGACTGGAGTCGTAGAACTGTTTCGTCTTCCTCCGACGCAATTCGGAACGACATTCAAGTGGGTTTTATCTGATTCACGATCATCTCTCCCTACCTCTTCTGGAAAGTTGGTTCGCATTCCGATTCTTCATTCCGTTTTGTTTATAATACTCGTGTTCTTTGATTGGATTGCATGCTTTTAATCTATTAGATTTTTTTCTTTGGGGTCGAATGATTGCATGAGCTTCGTTGATTTAGGACGATGACTCTTTTCTTAGAGGGCTTTTTGGCGGCGATCATTGTCATATTTAGGCTTATAGTTTGTAGATCTTTGGTGAAATCCTTGCTTTTGTATCAGAAGCTATTGAAGCGACAATGCAGCAGGAGTACAAGATATATGCTGAAAAAATACTGAACATTTTATCAAACTACAATACAATCGCGCTGTAGTAGAAAACAACAATGGTGGTCTTTATTTGATTTAAGAAAATATGTTTGCCCTATGTTTTTTGTAATATGTCCAGTGCTTGATGTATTTAGCTCCGCATGAAAGTTTTTTTTCTATGTTTGGTTCGCTGTATGAGGTAAACACAATGTTTCTTGAGCTTTAATGTATTTTGGCTGTACCTCGATCTACTAGCCATGATTAAGCTGCCTTTTGTTTAGGACTTAGGAATTGTTGGATTTTAAATTGCTGGTGGATTCAAACTAAGGAAAGAGCTAGGAAGGATGATGAGTTAAGAGAATAGAGAAAATGAGAACAATGGGGTGCTTTGTATATTTAGGCGATCGATCTTTCCAAACCGGCGTTGCCAACCCTTTCATATAGATGGGTTGGCTTAAGATGCGTTACATTCAATGAATAATTAAATCCCCAATAGTCATGCCTCTTCTTTTTACGGCGTGCCCATTATTATAATCTCTCCCTTAATGTTTCCTCACATAAATCTTTTTCTTATGCATTTAGTATTTGATAACAATTCTATTGTCTTATTCGGCCTCAAGGTGAGCTGGCATAGGAATTAAGTGGTATGTATGTAAATCTTCCTTTAAAGTTTTATTCTTATTCACATTTCATGATGACTATAGAAACCTCAGGAACATGACATTGAAATAGAATTATGTTCCGAATCGAAGTCACCCTTCTAATTAAAAAGCAAAGTTATTTATCTTAATCATTATGAGTCTCATGCGCATCAAGCATGTTTTGCTTGAGCTCTCTTATACATTACTATGCATACAAACACACCAAAAAAGGTTCTGATAACGAGCTTTGAAAATTCTCATCTCGCATTTTTACGCCCTGTTCTATTTAATGAGCATATTGAACATAGCGGCTCTTCCATCAACTTGAGAAAATGTTGATTATATTTTAGCAATACAAACTTATCAAATGATGATTTGCTTTTAACTTGAATAAATGGCTTTTTTTTCTTTTGAATCCACCCCATTATCACTTTTTCAATATCTCAATTGTTTATTTAGACAAAATAAACAAGCATAACTACTTCTAAAGACATTAGAAGGTTGATTAATCTAAGCTTGTATGATAATCATGAATCCAATTGCGAAATTAATTTGCTTCTTACACAGAATACATGAAAACTGGAAAAAATTGGCATCTGCAAAATCATTTAAAAAAATCCATAAAAACTTCTCATTCTTCACAACCTTATTCAGATTCCTTGAATCAAAATGCATAATCGGAAAGAAAATGCTGTTCAATGCCATTACAATTCCTCCAATGGTAACCCACCCTCTTATTTTTCTGCACAATTATTTTTCTTAGTGAGAAGGTTAAGAGTAGATTAGCTCTACAAGAATGCTGTGAAAATTCTAGCACCCAAATGCCCATGACTTATCCTTATTAATCTTTACTGATTTGGACTCTAGCTTTAAAATATTCAGTAATTGGTTAAATTTTATCTTGAGTAGAGACATTAGTTATTTTTAAATAGTTGCATAGATAACAATGCCTCCTTATAGTCTTCCTTTAAAACAGTTCTTAGTCCGCATGAATTTCAGGCCATGATTAATCGCTGACCTTTTTCTGGTTTATTTTCTTTTTACAGGGTTTTCTTTGCAAAGTGCTAGAATTCCTTATTGACTTCAAGGAATCCCATATATGGCTTCATCCAGTTCATGTGCTATTGAAAGTGATGATGCACAATTGAAAGCCTTATTCGACACATTTCGTTCTGTTTGTTCACTTAAAGATATTGCCTTGGCCTATAGCAAAGCTGGACATAATGTTGAAAGAGCTGGAGAAATTTTATGCAATTATAGTAAAAATCAGACACAAGGTTCATTTCATGATTATAACTGTGAAGGAAGCTTCAAGCACTTGGAGGAATCATCTCGAAAGGGAAATACTTCTAACTCTCGTCTTTTAGGTGATATTTCTGGTGGAAGAAGGCCCAAAAAACTAAGTGCTTCTGTGGGTTCAGTTTCTAGTTTTATTGGTAAAACATATTTCCGGCCTACTTCATCCCTGAATGAACCATCTAGAACAACCAAACCAATGATATTCAGTGTGGTTGAATCATCGGTTGCTGAATCTGCGAATGAAAAACTGGGTTCTGAATCCGTGGATGAGAAACTTCTATTTGATAGAAGCACAGAACTGATATCAATTAATAATAAGGATGTAGAGGAGTTTATTTTCTCAATGCTTGGTGATGGGTTTAAACTCAGCATGGATTGCATTCAGGAGGTCCTCGGTAAAAATCATCTTAGCTTTTTCTTGTCTGTCTATACCTTTAATAATTGATGCAAACGTCCGGTGCAATTATATATATTTTCTTAAATTATCTAGTATATTGCAAAATAATTCCATTTCTATACTATACCTTATTTATGGTTCTCTATAATGAGATTTATACAGTGTCTCCATTTTTGTAAGTTTATACACACCTTACTAGAGAAATGGTATTTCAGAAAATGAATTGAAAAGGTTTTATTTTACTTGAAAACTAACCCAGAACTCTCGTTGTCATGTTTTTTTTTTATGCAATTGATTCTACCTAAGATTTTTGGGTGTTATCATGTATTTAGAAGCCTTTTTCTGAGCATTCTTATCATATGAGCTCTACCATAGCGTAAAATATTTAAATATCACTCACCATTATTCTGTTCTTTGTCCTTAAAGAACTCTTCGGGTGCTAGCTGTGTGAATTGTTCTTCGAATTGGTAGCATGCACAGAAGCCTTTGATTTTCCTCCTAGATATTGAAATGGCTTTGTTCTCTTATGTCTGATTCTGATCATCATATTTTTGTCAATCAAGAGGACGAAAATCAGACAGTTAAATTAGGAGCTTCCTTATTTAAATTATTTTGAATATCTTTATTCTGATTTATTTCCTTTAGCTGAATATTTATATTAGGAATATGTATTATTAAATTACCTAAAATAGATTATTCAAAATATTTTGTACCTGAAATAGATTGTAAAATTATTATTGAATGGAATGAAAGCAAAGGAAAATGCATCGAGCCTATTCAGGATTTAACATATTTTTCTCAAAACTTTGACATAGTATTAGAGCCAAATTTTTGCCCTAAGCACCGATAATCGTTGGAGAACCGTCAAGACTCCCTTCCCGCCCTCCTTGTAGGACAGGAAGGGAGTAACTTTTCCTTTAGAAAAAAAAAAAACGCTCTTTCTTGATTTTTGGTTATCTTACTCTTCGTCTAGCTCTGCTATCCCCACTTCTCAAGTAGATCTCGCAACAAATCCAAGTTATAGAGAGATGGCCGGTGACCTTCGCCTTCTTCGGTACCGATCACTCCTCTTCTGAAGGATGAGCTCGACATCGTGATTCCGACGAACCGAAACCTTGACTTTTTGGAGATGTGGAGACCCTTCTTCCAGCCCTACCATCTCATCATCGTGCAGGACAGAGATCCATCGAAGACCATCAATGTCCCCGAGGGCTTCGGTTACGAACTCTATAACCACAACGACATCAATCGGATCCTCAGTCCTAATGCCTCCTGCATCTCATTCAAGGATTCCGCATTTCGATGCTTCTGTTACATGGTGTCTAAGAAGAAATACATCCATACCATTGACGACGACTGCTTCTTCCGCTTCGGCTTCGTCCGCTTCGACTCCGGCTTCTGACACACTCAAGGATTGAAGGCTTTGACACTCCTTCCTAGACCAACAACTTTGGCTTCGGCAAACCCTAGATCTTTTACTTTGACACTCACGGCTTATGCAATCTCGGCTTCGACACTCACGACTTATGCAATCTCGGCTTTGACACTCACGGCTCCGGTATCTCGGTTTCAGCACTCACTGCTACGACATCTCCACTTCAACACTTTTAGCACGAAGATCAAGGAACAAATCATCATCATCGTCACAGAAAGAATCAATAACATTTGGATCGTATAACAGGACGCAGATTCTACTTCAAGGCAATGATCAATAGCATCTGCATCGTGTAACTAGATCCTATTTGTGGGCTGTGATCAGTAGCATTTGGATTAGGACGCGAATCCTACTTGTGGGCTATGATCGATAGCATCTGGTTCGTGTAACTTGATCCTATTTGTGGGCTATGATCGGTAGCATTTGGATCGTGTAACTGAAAGCGGATTCTTCTTATGGGCTACAATGATAAAAGATTATTTGTTTTTCTTTGTTCAAAATCATGTTATGATTCAGGAGTTGTCTCTGAGACTTCGACATATTTGGCTGCGGCACTCACGACTTAAGGATTTTTTGTCACGGCAGTGTTATCAGTTTCTTGTTGGCAAATTGATGCTTCTTGATCAGTCATCATCAATTTGAGGTGGATGTCAATCAGAAAGGACAGAAATCATACAACTAAATTAAGAGTTCTCTATAATTAGGAGCTTCCTTATTTAAATTATTTACAATATCTTTATTCTGATTTATTTCCCTTATAGCCGAATATTTAGATTATGAATATGTATTATTAAGTTACCTAAAATAAATTATGCATGATATTTTGTACCTAAAATAGATTATTATGATTATTATTTAATGGAATGAAAACAAAGGGAAAATGCAACTTCATATTCGGGATTTGGCCTATTTTTCTCAAAACTTTGACAATTTTGAATATCAATTGCTAAATAAATTCAACCCCTTAGCAAGTTTTAAACTTTTGAATGCGGCATGGTTGCCATCGAAGCAAACAATTTATCACATAAACTTTGGTAGGTAGTTCCTAAACATCTATATTCATAATTTTTAAAAATCATGGGTTGCTGAATATTTGGGGCTGAAAGATTAGGTTCTGATCCTATGGCCGAGCAAAAAGTTATGTTCACTGGTTTGCTGAATGTGGTACTTATGCCCTACTGGGTATAATTACCGGACATGCCACCTCTCCCGAGTTAATTACTTCTCAAATTTGCTTTTTAAGTTCAACCACAATGTCACTTAAAGCTCAAGGTAAATCTATAACACATCATTTAATGTGTGTTGGGCTTTGATGGTGCTCTGAGCCTAAAATGGGTTAAGAGTCGCTGCTTCTCTGCTAATTGGTGCGCATTATGCACCACAGGATTTATGTTAGAGAAGTGCTGCAAAAGTTACTTTAATGTCTTTTCAATCCTCTTGTCAACTTCCACGTAACAAGGCTTGGGAAAAGAAGCTTGGAAGGGGCCATTGTCTATGATATATTCGAAGCATAGATATTGTTGGTTTTCTGGAGAAATAAAACGAAAATTTAGGAAGAAGATAAAACTTGCAGGCATTGTACACCGAGTATGTTTGTTTTTTGCTGTTAGGGTGTTATAAAGACTAACTATTGACATGGAGGTCATGGGTTGAAGTTATGAATGCGTTTTCTTTGCAGTGTAGGAGCATGGCTGCATTCATGAACCTATAGTAATGTTTGCCTTACGCTTGATTTTTACTTTTTAACTTAATTATTCAGTTTAGTTGTTAAGACTAGTGCTGTACAATAGCATGTAGCAAGCCTTTTTGTACAAGTTACCTTTTCCTTGGAATGTCGTTTCAGGTTAATAGGTTGGGTTTGAATTTGACTTCAAATTGACTCAACTTGAATATGCTTGACATGAACTCAATTCATTCATTATATGGGTTAAAATATTTGACCCAAACATAACAAGACCCAGACTTGTTTAATCCGAACCTTACCTGTCTAACCTAATTTTGTATGTATCATGTAATTTTTTTGATAAATACTATATATTTAACCTGCATGTAACGCTTTTAACCCAAATAAATTTACCTAACTTGCCTAAACCAAATCTGAATATTAATTGGGTAAATTCGAGTTATTATGTTGAACCTCAACTTGACCCAAATAATAATCATGCCTATAATTTAGACTGCAAACTGACCCTAGTAATTAGCAGCGTAAACCCCGTTTCTTTGAATTGGATTTGGGTCGTGTATTTAGTCATTTATTTGCACCCATACTTTTTTTCAAATCTCCTTTTAACTGGTATAATGTGCAAGAACCGTATGTAAAATCTTTTTGAAATAGTTAATTTTACTTACGGATTAGAGTTTTTCAGACAACATAGCATTACTAATGTGTTCCAAATATCCTAAACTTAACTTTTAACCTAACCCTATTTAGTAGTTGCACATGTGCTCTATCTTTTAGAAATATAATTAGGGTTTTGATTGACTGTAAAGTATAAGTTGTGCATAGAAAATGCTAGATAAATGCAGTCAATTGGAATGCATTTGTTTATTTTGGATTTCCTTTGTTATATTAATTAAAATATGGTTTATAAAGTAAAAGCAAAGAATTAAGAACCAATCAAGGCAATAACTATATTTTACTTTGATTTCAAGATAACCAAAATTTATAAAAATCTTACGATAAGGTTCCTGAGAAATTCTTTGGAAAGTTCTAGGGAAGAAATGTGTTGATATGATTTATATTCAAGTCATTAAAGATATGTACACTAGAGTTGTTACTTGTGTTCAAGCAGAAGGAGGATTGACCAAATATTTTTTCTATTTTAGTTGGATTACCTCAGGGATCGGCTTTAAGCCCATATCTTTTTGCTTTAATTATGGATGCTCTTACTGGACATTTACAAGAGGTGTACCTTGGTGTATGTTTTTTGCTGATGATATCCTTCTTGTGGTTAAGACTAAAACTAAATACATGTGTTGACCTCATTTTTGGTGAGGTCTTAGTCTCCTACTCTTAGAACCTAGGATCTAGCTTTAGGAGTTCTTATTGACAATCCTAGCGGACTAGCAATGGAGCCCACCTCCCGTAGAATTTCAAGCCACTTCTTGACTCATTTTTGTGAAGAACTCGCATGAGTGGTTCGAAGCACTCAACTTTTAGTTGCAAGGGCTAAGGACCAACATGTAGAGGGCCCGAAATTGAGTTCCTATAGGATCAAATAGCCTTAGGTGAACCCTTTGTGACTCGATTATTCGTGAACGCCGCATTTCACGTACTCACTGCACCACACACAATTTTGGCTTAAATTGACTCGCCCGCCGGCAAACTCGTCCGGACGACCCCGGATGACGAAACGGAC